CATTTTATGGAGGACGAGGACTGTTTCCTGGGAGAGTAGCCTACAATGCCGGTGTCTGTTTCTATAAAGTGGGGCGTTTCCAACTTTGCAAGGACAGTCTGGCGCTTCTGACTCACAGCCTGTAAGTACGTTTTAATATTTAAAGAACTTGCCACTGACGATTCAAACGCGAGTTTTGAGCAGAGTAGAGTAGCGCTTGTTGTTTGTCGTTTCTCCAATCACAAATACAGACATGGTTTTATGTTAACGCGGCGCGATATGCAACGCAACGCGTAAAAAGACAGTATAAGTCATTATAATCAGTAATTATGTCCCCACTTTGCAACGATTTGTATCGTGAAAAGCGCTATACAAATAAACTTTGAAAAATTGAATTGAACATGCTTGAGGTATTTGGCCAATCACAATGCACTAGATAGCTGGCCAATCAGAGCACACCTAGCTTTTCAGAATGATGAGCTATGAGTTTTGTGATGCGTTTCAGAAAGGTGGGGCATAGAGGAGAAACAATAATGTACATTATGTGGAAAATGGAAAATTTTTTTAACCTTAAACCGCATAAACATTGCATTACACCAAAACATTGCATTATACACAAAATAATGTTCTTTTTAGCAATGTCATATGACCCCTTTAAAATAGAAAAACTTAAAACTTTATTGTAATAATATTTCACAATATTATTATTATTTTTGTAAATCAAATAAATGCAGCTGTGGTGAGCATTAGAGACTTTTCAAAGACATAAAAAAACTAACTTTGAACATACCTTTGAACAGTAGTATAATATTAAGTAATATTAAATATTTCATTCAGTTTATTGTGATAGAGGTCTTCCCCATCAAGAAACTGTCTCTCACGAATGTCTCATGTTGTGTTCAGGTGGGCTGGTAATGGGAACAGGCATTGAGTCTTCATCTAACATCTATGGCCTGTTTCAGCACATTTGTGTGGCTTTTGAGCTTGTGTTGGCTGATGGGAGTCTGGTCCGCTGCACTGAGGTGAGGGCATTGTTACAGATGATATAAAACAAACACAAACATAGACATGTTAAAACAAATGTTTTAAAATTTGCTCACAGAAAGAAAACTCGGACCTCTTCTATGCCGTTCCCTGGTCTTGCGGTACTTTGGGGTTCCTGGTTGCGGCAGAGATCCGGATAATCCCAGCTCGCAAATGGGTGAAGCTTCGCTACGAATCTATACGTGGCCTGGATGCTATCTGCAAGAAGTTTGCAGAGGAATCAGCCAATAAGGAGAACCAGTTTGTGGAGGGACTGCAGTACTCTCGGGACGAGGCTGTGATTATGACGGGCACCATGACAGATCATGCAGAGCCTGACAAGGTGATAATGAATATCTGTAATGCAAATCTGATTGCTTTACTTTTTCTATGACCCAGTTGCTACTAGTTCGGCCATTGAGGAGCCAACGTTCCCAGTAGCACTGGTGCATGTTTATCTACAATTGAACACCACTGTGTTATCATAGCATTTAATTTTGTCTCTGTTTTTCTCTGTCTTTTAGACTAACTGTATAGGTTACTATTACAAGCCGTGGTTCTTTCGGCATGTGGAGGGTTTTCTGAAGCTGAACCGTGTTGCAGTGGAGTACATTCCTCTCCGGCACTATTACCACAGACACACCCGCAGCATCTTCTGGGAATTACAAGTACATTACTCTGGGAAATTTCACTCAACAGCACAACTACCAAATTATCTTCTTATTTTTTTCATATTTTGTCTTTTTGTTTTTTAAGAAATAACAAACACTGTGATTTTCAGTGGCTGTGTAGTGTCATATTTCTCAAGTTCACATAGTTGTGTAGAATCACATTAACTTGATTTACAGCAATTCTTCATTTTACACAACATACACCATCATTTAAAAGTTTGGGGTTATATGATTTTTTTATTGTTTCTAAAAGTCCCACCAGGGCTGTGTTTATTTTATTTTATTTTATTTAAAAAAAAAATACAGTAATTTTGTGAAATATATGTTACAGTTTTTTTTATTCAGTATATTTTAAAGTGTGATATATTCCTGTTTTTAAATTTTTTTTTTATTTAGGATTCTTCAATGAGTAGAAAGTTCAAGAGAGCAGCATTTATTTGAAACAGAAATCCTTTGAAACATTATAAATGGCTTTGCTGTCACTTTTTATCAATTTAACAAACTTCTGAATGGTAGTGTATCTTATTGTTTTATCATTTAAAACAAAACAAAAAAACGTTTGTTTTGAAATGATTTGCTTATATTATTTCAGATAAATGTCATTTGTTTTTATATTGTTTTATATAATGGAATGACATTTTTACATTTTTAAGTAAAGCTTAAATGTATAAATACTTTTTGGAAGCACTCTATCTATATCTACTTGTACATATATTATAATTTTTGCATTCATTATTCTAAATTTTCAGGATTGTCTTTATTATTCCTTTATCCATTTTATTTTTCAACGATTATCCTATAATACAACCATTTTATTTATTCTAGTCCACTGTAATTTGAGTTTAGTATTCGATTATGATCTCCACAGTTATGCTAACATTTTGCTGTATGATTAGTCTTGTATTATGATTGGATCTCTAGGGATTGTATCTTATATTATTAATATCAGACTCTTATTGAGAAAGCCTGTTACAAGTTTTAACTTTCAATTTGTATATATATATATATATATATATATTTCTGACACTGCATCTATACTGGATGCAAGTTACGAGATGCAACAAAACTAAGGACAATAAAACTTATTATAAATGATGATTCTGTCTACACTGTATGCGGCGTGCCCGATAAATCTCTGACACTAAACTGACATTTCATTCTTTTTCTTAAAGGATAAATGATTTGTGACAGTGGTCATGTTTGGTGTAGACACAGTGTAAATATCAGGGTTGGTGTTCTTTAAGAAAAAATTTACTGATTTTTAAACAAAAGCAAATGTTCTGTCCTTGTGGTGGTCTATATAGTGATCATTGGCTTTTTTGGTAAATAGTATCACAGCGTATGATAAAGTCAGATTTTATGAAAAGGTTAAAATGTATATCTAGACTAGTCTGGTATCTGTATCTAGTCTGATTGTCCAGTATACAGAATTACTGGACATTATACTATTTGTATATATTTTTTTATATGTACTGTATGTGAGTGTGTATGCCTTTCTGTGTCTATTTGCGGTGTGTAAGAGTGAGTTAGAGGGTCCCAGCTGTACTGAAGGGTGTGTAGATTGGAGTGTATTTGGAGTGAGTCAGTGTGCCCTGCAGGTGCTCCTTTACCAGGAGCTCTCCTCCAACAGTCTGAGCCATCACAAAAACACCTCCTTTCCTCTGCTTTGAGCACCGAGAGATTGCTTCCCTAAGTTTTGACATTACATTGTTTTTAAGGGAGCGAGAGAAACACACCAGGTACAGATCCCACAGCACCATTTTGTGGCTAAGCACTCGAGTTAGGATGTGCCTGTTCATGAGTCCTGTTCATTAGTTTACTGAAGCCAGTGCCTGCAAGTAGATGCTCTTGAGAGAGAAAGCAGCTGCTTAGATGTTGTCAGAAAACCTAATCCCTAAACCTGTCCTATCGTGTACTTGAAAAAGAGCTGAAACAAATTTGATCACACACACACTTGCACAGGTTTGTTACAGAAAGGACATCTCTCAGTGACTGACACAAGAGAGCCTGAGACTGAGTTCAAATTAATTATTCAAGCCTTTTCTGTACAACACAAATTACAAATGCCGCCGTGTGTGTGAGAGATATTTGAGTAGATGTAAACTCAGTGTGTGCTCAGTGGAACTGTGTGTACTCTGTAATGTGTCCATAGACACACTGTATCGCTGCAGAAGACCAGTTGCTTGTAGTTTCCGCTATATTGTGCTCCTAAACTTTGTACACGTTCAATAGGTCATGTTTTATTAGACCAACTCGCCCTGCTCCAATTAGTCTTGAGGTCACTGTATCACATCGTCATGACAAAGCTGCAAACAAGCTAATAAGAGCCAATCAAAACCGGCCTTCACTGTTTCCTAGTTAATCGATGCCTGTAGCTGATAAGCAGTCACTACAGTGACAGACGCCATGGTAACTTTGGCCTCGATCTCTCTGAAGCTAGAACACACTCGGCTGTGAGAGATGCAGCAAACGCTGCCACATCACAAACACACTAAAATGGCAGCAGAATCTGTGTCCACAAAACCAAGTTGTGCACATCCTTGGTTTTTTGTTAAATGCATATTTTGGCTGACTTTATTTGTGCTTCTATGAATTGTAGATTGTAGTACTGTGAGCTCTGTGTGATATATTTTACCATATTTAAATCCATCTGGGTTGCTGATAATTGACAGTTGTAAGTGTGCCGGTGGGCTGAGTTGCTCTTTGTGTGAGCTGAGTGAGATGAGCGAGCAAAATGTCACTGAACCCCAGAGGGCCATTCTATATGTTTTTTTGTATAAATATGCAGGATCTTAAAAAAATAGTTCACAAAAACTGATTCAGTGATGCAGAAAACGCTGATGGAATCATGGAATACAGTTATAAAAATGAAATTTACTGGATAATGCTGAATTTGGATATATGAATCAAATGGTATGGCTGTACACTTAATACAATTGCCATACAAACTAGTTTCTATAAATATTAAACTGCAAACAAAAAACCCACAATTTAAATATGCCTGCGTGTTTCTGTGTGAATTAATGCCACAGTTTCGTCTACTACACACATACTCAAGCATGCATGACGCTCGTCGTTTTTTTAGTGTCTGCTGTCTCACTGTATGAACTATGAAGAGCTGCATGAACTGTATGGACTGTATGAACTTCATCTCCAGAGCTGCTCTGAGAGTCACTTCACGAGCATTTCACCATTTCTTTTTTTTTTTTTTTTTAACTATTGTCAGATACACACAGAAACTCAAAGGTCTTCATTACAACCTACAAACATAAAAGTTTGGTTTAACTGGAAGAAATTGACACGTATAGCATAATGTACAATAATATTTTTAATGCCTTAGTGCTCATTTATTGTAAATGCATGGATAAGAGCAGCCAGCACAATACCTCAAAACATCTTTTTTTTTCTTTTTTTGTTCCAGTGGAAGAAAGAAAGTACTTTGTTTGGAACAACAGAATGGAGAGATAGAAAGGGTATAGCTAAACAGATTACAGAGCCATCAGTGAAGAAGCGTACATTCTCCCCCTAGTGGAGAGAGGGGAGATGACAGCATCTTACATGTTCTTTACCTCTCCTGTCCTGTCCTATTATATCTTAAAGTAATTATTTGGAGTTAAATGATGTTCATCAGTTTGGTCAGTACTAGAGGCAAAAATCTGCCTTCTTGCTTTCGCTAAGGTAGCAATCTGTAAACCCAGTGTTCTGCAGAGAGACAATGAGAGGATAGAAAGTGAAAATCAATGATGACTTATGAAAATGCTTCAGTTGTGTAACTGATTTCACACTAAGCCAATTCCAGGGCTACAAACACATTTTTTCATTTTGTGATTTTTTTTACGGTAATATTTTTACTTTAGAGCAGTGGTTTTCAATTCCAGTCCTGGGGACCTCTTGCTCTGCACATTTTGTATGTCTCTCTTATCTGACACACTCAGTTCAGTTCATGGATGATGATCTGAATCAGGTGTGTTAAATAAAGGAGACATGCAAAATGTGGGGTCCCCAGGACTGGAATTGAGAACCAGTGCTTTAGAGTAACCAGATTCATCACTGTACACTGAGATTTTTGAGATGATGATAAAACAAAATATTTTGATATTGGTGGATTCATCTTTTGAGTTGTCAGAATGAGCAAAATGCATGTCTCTAACAGAAAGACAGATAGTGGAAATGGACATCAGCCTTTGCTTTATAAAATATCTTAAGATATGCATCTGTGGGTGAGTGTTTACATGTGGTTAAAAGTGAAATGAGTGTGACAAAGGAAGTACAGTTGTACAATGTCTGTTCTTCATTTTGGTTTATTATAGCAGCTTGTGTTCTCAATCTCATGCACAAAAATATAAAAGTTCAAGATCATCAGTCACTTTCCTCTGTAAGAAGCAGGGAAAGCTGCCTGCCAGTGTGCATGCGTGTGTGTGTGTTTGTTTGGGGCTCTCCTTTAAGTGTACTAAAAGTAGTTTCCTACAGGAGCCTGTTCTCGGTGTGTGTGTGTGTGTGTGTGTGTGTGTGTGTGTGTGTATTTCTGCAGTCTGTTGCTCATATTCTATTTGAGGCGGTTTCTTTTACAAGAATCAAGTTTTACCCCTGACCCATCTCTGTTTCTCTGTCTCTCTCTCTCTCTCTTACACACACACACAATACAAACACAAACATACACTCACATAAGGAAGTGTCACAACAGGAAGTAGGGGGTGTTGGGGAAGAAAGATTTAGCTCAGAGAGGCACAGACTGCAAGGGTCAGTTGCTGTCTACAGTTGCTGTGTGCATGACAGTAACTAGAGTCAATCTGGCAGCCCTGAAAGAGAGCCTGTTCTCGGTGTGTGTGTGTGTGTGTGTGTGTATTTCTGCAGTCTGTTGCTCATATTCTATTTGAGGCGGTTTCTTTTACAAGAATCAAGTTTTACCCCTGACCCATCTCTGTTTCTCTGTCTCTCTCTCTCTCTCTTACACACACACACAATACAAACACAAACATACACTCACATAAGGAAGTGTCACAACAGGAAGTAGGGGGTGTTGGGGAAGAAAGATTTAGCTCAGAGAGGCACAGACTGCAAGGGTCAGTTGCTGTCTACAGTTGCTGTGTGCATGACAGTAACTAGAGTCAATCTGGCAGCCCTGAAAGAGACAGAGAAATGTGGGCACACAGG